TTGCTTGCCAAATGTTACACGTACGTTTACAACTTTTCCTGCTTTTTTTTGCAACCACCCAACCTTCAGGGGAGGAACACAGCAAACATTTAACAGCAACAGGTGTCAGACAGGAGTTTATCACAGGAAACGAAGGACATGTCAGACAGCTGATATTAGAGAAGATAAGTGGGTATGGGATGGAAGAAATACTACAAGAAGAGATTGGAATAGGTTGATTATCCTTGGGTATTTGTAAATACTGCCAGTATTCTCAGCGTTACACATCTTACCTGAAAGCAAGTGCCTTCTGAATGACCAGTAACCCTTCCTTTAGCGCATAATCTGGCGTCCTGTGACGGTCTTGCCAGCAATTTCACAAAACAAGGTAAGGAAACCACATTTAAGCACACACTCGATCAGAAGCACTCTAAACTTGCAGCAGCCCTTTTGCCCATGGCGCAATCCCATATAAATTAATGTGGCCTCGCCCAAAAAAAGATCCTCTTCCTCCGCAGCCTCCTAGACTAGCCCTCGGACTGCCCCGGCAAATTTGAGCAGCCTAAAGCACCCAGAAGGAAACTGATGGCCCAGGCTCTTCTGAGAAAACTTACACTGGAAGAAGCATGCTTTAACTCCCTATCCCTGTGCAATGCACCGCAGATACTCGGGGATCAGTAGGAATGTCTCTCAGATGGTCTTTATAGCTCGTATGGCTTAGTGGACTTATCAAAAGTGTAAGAGAAAAATAAAGCTCATTTCTGGACAATCAGAAACCAGGCGTCTCATTTTTAAGTTCCTGGAAAAATGGAGCACAAGTTCATTGCATTTTCAGGCATCGTAAAGACAGCAAAAGGCGAAAGTCTCACAGGGAGACAGTCAGGTGTAAAACATAGAGAAGCAGCAGCATTCATCCTTTCAGCCAACAGCTCTGTGGCTCGCGTGCTCCCCTGAAATACGGGAGATCCAGTTTCCTCCTTTAGAGCATGGACTTAAACCAGGGGCTTCCCCCTCCTAGAGGAAGGCCAAACTCCCTGAGCTATATGATGGCTCTGTCTCAGGGTTTCATGTTAAAACTGGGTCAGAAAGGCAGAGACTTCAAAGCAATTATACAGAGTCCAGCCCAGCGCAGGCACTCCCACTTCCATTCTGGTGGCCCAATTAATGCCCATCTCTCTGTGATTCTAGCCTGAAAAAGCAACATATTTCATTTCAGAAGTGTCAGAACGAATCATGTCAAAGCTCCAGAAGAAAAGGAAAATGAAACAAAACAAAACCCTACTCCCTTCTTTGGGAATTCAACTAAATTTGACGTAAATTAATAAAGTTTTGCATTGGCCAAAACTCCATCCTCATCAACAAAACCACTTGCAAAAACCAGAAAAACACCAAGCAAGCAGACCCAAATCGCTATTTCTATGGGTAACAGGACTAACAGAACACAGTTTCCAGGAAACAGCTGTCTCACAGCCGGATTTTCTGGGGCCTGGGGAAAGCTGAAGTCCCTTCAATGTTCATTATGCCTCTCTTCAACATGGATTCTCCTGCAGGAGGGAGGCACCAGGCACCTACGCACTCTCGAAGAGTCGCGCACCCGAGGCAGATGCCAGCAATAACTCATGTCCTCAGCTGCTGCCGCCGCTGCTTTCCCTTAGAAGCGGATCTCGGTAATCCCAGCAACAGTGAGGGAGAGGGGGAGTTTGTTCTCGTATACGTGCTTGCATGAGACTGCTGTCAGAAGCGGAAGAGGAGCCTGTTGTAATACCTGGAAACAGGTCTGCGTTCCATGGTGGGATGGCACAATATCGCCAGAAACGAGCAGATGACAGCTCCCAGGTGAAAGCAAAGGGACACTCATCTCCTGCGCGACAGCTGGCTGTTTGCTCCATGGTGACAGACAGGAGCACACCTCCCTACCTGGGCTATCCCTGTAGCCTCTCTGCCATGCTGTCAGGCATCTCATGATCTCAGCATCCAGGATCATCACAACACTCGCAAGAAGGTAGGACCGTTACTCTGTCTTACACTTGAGGCGTGGAGGGTCCAGGACCCCCAACAGGCATCCACCTGGTGCAAGGTAATGCTATGCAGGGATACCCAAGCCAGCTGGCGTACCCCCACACTTCTGGCCTGGCCAGCAGATTTTTCAAAGGAGTGGGGTGTATCCACCCTGGGGGCCTGCCGCACCCCCAAGGATGTCCTGGAACACATCCCAAATTGCCCAGGGCTGCCCTGGGCCAGGCAGACAAACCTGCATTGTTCTGTCCCAAGCCCAGAAACCTGACAGAAGCCAAATCCTTAATGCAGCCCTCTGGGCAGTGAGTGAAATACGGACCTGCCATCCTCTTTCTCATTTACCCCTATTTATCTTCTCACTTGATAACATACAATTATTTTGTGGCAGCTCTTCATAAAAATGCCATTTCTGGTAGCACGAAGCACGTCCAGGTGCATCTGAATTCTCAGACAGGCCATACTGTGCAGAGCCAGCACTAAGTTCACATTTCATGTTCTGAAGCCCAGTCTTCCTTTCAAAACATATTTAACGGTTGCTTTCAGGCTTATCATATTATAACCCTAAGGTGGCCGTAGAAATGACTACATCTTCGATGGTTCTTTCTTGCAAAGTTCTAATAGGCCTAAGGACGCGTGTAAAGAACTATTTCAGATTATTTCTACATAAGATGTATTACCAGGATCCAGTTCCGGTGCTGGCTTTTGCTAAAGTCTGGTTTCTGCAACATAAGACACCAGCATCATTGGAGAGGCCTGGATGCCGTACGCATGCTTAAGTAACACTGAAAACATGAGCATTGTAGAAGGCAGGGATATACGATGTGTGCTACAAGAGACTTTAGTGCATGATTTCAATGCCTTAATGCTCGTAGCAGCAGGCAATTCAAAAATTAAAACGGAGGCCAGCAGCGAGAGAAAAACACAGCATTGTTCCCTGGAGATAGCTTGCTCTGAATTGTAACTATTGGCCAGCAAAACCTGGGGACCACTGGGAGGAATGAAATTAGGTAGATGATATAAATGAAACACAGACAAGTAGGTAGATGCTGATGTTAGTACCTGTAATCACTGAGGGACTGCTGTAGCATCCAGATATTTCAGCGGGGAGGGAGGAAAACCTCTGTGCTGAAAGCACTGCAGAGGACAGCAGTGGGGAGAGTGTGTCATCAGCCACTCGAGCAAAGTCCAGCTGGGCCTGTGAGCCGGAGCTCTCGGCCACCTCGGGGACGATAGCACCAGCATGCTCCTGCTCACTGCGGCTCTCTGAACCGTCGCCAAGGAGCCAGAGCTGGCAGGGTGTAGGAGCAGACACCACTCATGCCATCATCCTCCCTGGGCAGCACAAGCAGAGCAGGGATTTCTTGCTCAGGCATCCTCAGGGCAGCTGGTAGAGCTCATCAATCACAGACTCTTTTTCCCAAAGCAGTCACAAAACTAGAGGCAGAAACAAGGAAATAAAATCTCCACTTTCCAGAACAGGAGAGATTGAGGGCCAAGCTTTTGCATTGTTTGTACCAGTATAGGTCTATTCATTCAAAAAAAAAAAAAAAAAGATGAGGACTCAGCTTCCAAAAAGTCACTTGCTCAAGGTCACAGGCTGTAGCAAAGAAGGGATCTGAATAGTTTTTCTTAAATGAAAATACACCTTCTAGCCACTCTCCATCACATTTTTGTGCACGCATTTTTGTAAGTTTACCTTCTTTAAAACACAGTAACAAAAAATGCAGGTGCTTTGATGCCCTGCCGGGTTTGGGACGTGAAGGGTCTGTCCATACCTTCAGACTCCAAATTTCTAATTACAGAACGCTCCGCAGAGGGATTCACAAAACGGAAATAATAGCCCCATCAAGAGCCTTACATTATTAGTGCAGAACTGTAGGAGACTGGCGAGTAAATGGGAGACATTGCTAGACAAGGGAAGAATAAACAACAGTCCTGGATTTTTCTGCAAAAAATCTGAAGCATCTGCAGCAAGGGGAATCACCAAATTCAAAAGAGTTAGAAGCTCTTTTGCTGTGCTGGAAAAAAGTCTAGTGAAAACAGAAAAGCTGTCTCTTTCTGAAAGCTGCATCTTCCAGTGACAAGTGGAGACCAGAGGAGAACAGAGACTTCCATCCGGAGACTAAGGGGTAGGAAGATAAGTAAGAAACTTAAGATGGGCAATCAAAAAGAGTGAAAACACAAACACCTCCTTTGCCTGGTGGCTAGTTTGTGATTATACACAAATTATAAAAGGAAACCTTTTGTGTGGGATAATGTAACATCCAGCCGATCTCCTTCCTATCAGGTGCTTGGCTTATGCACAGGAGAGAAAAAAGAAGATCAAAGGAAAAGATTAAAGGAAGCAATTTTCAATTTTAAACACAGCATCTTAACGTGATAGAAAGGACTAGTCAAAGCAGCTGAAAAACGCTCAGGGTCTGGGAGAGACGCCTTGGCTGAAAGTACTGCAGTGTTTTCCATATTCGTCTGCTTTATTTTTAAACGCCCAGAGTCTTTGCTTGATCAACACCTCCTTGTTAAAGAAGGAAGCAGAGGAGGAATAAGGGGCTGTGGGGACAGAGGCAAATGAGCTTGGAAATTGATGATCTCCTCAGCCATGAAAGTCAAAATTCCTGCTTGAAACTGAATACTCCCGGAGAGATATGCAGGCATGGGGGAAAGGGGAGGGAAGGAAAGAAAGATTTATTACTTAAGCAGAACTAAAATTTTGCTGAGAAAAAGGGCTGTTCGATCCACGTCGGAACGTCAACGGAAGATCTGAAACTGGATTTGTCAGATTTCCCCTCTCCTTTTCATGCATAAAAAACGCAGGGGAGGTGGGGGGGGAGGGGATAAGCCACTGAAGTCCCTTGATCTTATGAAGCCCTGAACTCTTATATGCCATTTATAGCCCGAGCTGGAATGACATCCCCCTTGATTAGCAAACTGTCCAATCCAGCTGCATGTGTCAGGATTGTACGAGGCACTAAGTGAAATATATATATGCCCTTATAGAGTCTAAGACATTGGGTCCACCTCCAAGGCACAGGCTGTAGATCATTCTGACCGCTGCTCTTCTCCCAGGAATCACTTTTTAGGGTTTTCTAAAAGTTTTTTGGGGGCACCTTTACTTTCAAATTCAAACAAAACAAAATGGCACCAAAGAAGGACGTAAAGAAACCCGCAGCAGCTGCAGCACCCGCACCAGCACCAGCACCTGCGCCAGCACCTGCACCTGCACCCGCGCCCGCGCCAGCTAAACCCAAACAACCAGCAATTGATCTCAAGAGCATCAAGGTAAATGGATGAACGTGTGCTGATCACTGACCCAAAGTGCTCTCAAATGGGGAAGCTAGCAGACTCCCTGCTGAAACCTGCAGTGAAACGTTGTGTGTGTTTGGTTCCAGTTTGGGGACTGCAGTGAAATGAATGAGTAACCTCAATCCATGGATTTCTTGATCTGGCTGAGCTTTTGATTGTTTAAGTAGCTGGAGGTGTGTAAGGCATGGCGCATGATTTAACACAAGAGTGAAACCTGGTGATTTCCAAAGCATTTTGGAGGGTGGCCCTCAGAACTTTTGACCAAATTAGATCAGTCTAATCCATTTGGTAAAGCTGAATTTAAAAGTTCTGCCAAAAAAAAACTTGAAGTAGATGCATGAGGACTAGAAAGGGTTAGTGAAACCTGAAATGCAGTGTTTTCCTATAGTGCTGTATTAAAATCATACATTGTTTTGCAGTCTCCCCTCAAATTCCTTTCCAAATTTTAACAAACATCTGATGACCCCTTGGGTCATGTGTTTTGAGATCAGTATTGCTTATCTCTAAAAGCAGAAACTCAAAAATACACTAGAAGAATAAAGAGAGGGATTTGGCAGTTTCATCTCTTTTTTCCCCCCCCCCCTCTATTTTCTTTATACAACAAACATTGATTCAGACTATGAGCTGGAAAGCCAGGTATGGAACTGTTTCAGGGGATTTCCTCTCCCCTTATAAGTTTGCTTATAACTTGCAAGTTGCTGCAGATTGAAACTAACGAAGAGGAGAAGTCTTTCCGAGGTTTCCCTCTGCCAACGCTTTCATTTGGACTCGTATTGTCTTTAGACTTTGCATGCCAATCAGCATCATTAATTGTTGCCTTGACACTTGAAAGAGAACTCCTCCGTGCTAGGAAATTCTTTATTTAGGAAAGAGCAGAAGGTGGTGAAGTAGAGAAAGGGATGAAGAGACAGACCTATTTCTCTGGCCATGACTATAAATAGTTATTCTCCACCTACCTGACAAGCCGATTGGTCCCAGCACCAGTTTACAAAATTCTACATAAGGAATCATGCCTATTATGGAGAAAAGAAGGAGTACAAAGACTCCTAATGGGACCTACTCCTTTTAATCTCAGGATGAATTCTGGTAAAGTTACCTTAATAAATACACCCTGTTATTCATACATTTCCAGGATTATGGCCCATTTAGTTAAATCTCCTGAAGTTTTCTTTAGTTTTCCCAGCCTGTTCCAAAAAGTTCGTATTTTGCTGAACCAGTAGGTAGTTTCCAGTAAGAGTGAATCTGAACTCACTGGCAAAACAAAACCAGGAGAAGAAATACATTTTGAAATATTTAGAACAATCATAATAAAGGCTATGCAGAGAGTCCACTGGTTTTGAGAACACTGTCAGAAAATTAGATTAGACCTCACATTTCACTCATCTCCAGAGAGGAGAGGAGACAAGCTATCTTTCCTACTAAATAATTTAATGTGATTTGATGGTGCTCTCTGTCCAGTTCATTAGGAGAAAATAGAATGTTCAACTGCAGTGATCCTAGCTAATCTATCTTTACATAAATAGTAGACTTAATAGTATATCACTAGTTAAAAAATGGCAGGCTGTGGTCTGAGGCATCTCTGCAGCTCAGTACAACCCACTCCTTTACCCAGACAGCTCTATTACAGCAGGAGATATATACTGGTAGCAAAGAGAGAACAGTCTAGGTTTGGTCATTTTGAGACTGATAAAAGAAGATAGTCTGCTTAAACTTTCTCTTTCTCTCAGAAGATAATATCAGATACAATATTCTCTCTTTGAAGCGGGGGGAAACCTGGACTAGTAAGAACAAACCATTCTTTTAGCGCTAATGACAGCACATAAGCATCACTATTTCTATTTGCAAATGAGTAAAGATAAGAGCAGCATGAATGAGAACCATACAGCAATGCAGTGGGTACCCAGCCGCACAGCACAACTGTGTGGCCGTGACCATACCATGACGCAGAAACCCACGGCGCATGTGAGGGCGACAAATACCCCCTCCATCTCCTGACTTTCCCCCCTCACCCAAGCCCTCACAGCAGTCACAGCCTGCCCAGGTTGTGGTGCCTTGAGCATGGAGCTCTTTGAGAAGAGATCAGGAATGATCACGGCACGGTTGATCCTGCCTCAGGGCAGAGGATATGGACTGGAAGACCTCCCAAGGTCCCAACCAGTCCTGGGTTACCAAACTTCTCCCTCTGAGAGCTCAGGCAATGAAGGGAAAAAATGCCTTCTTATAACCGACTTGCCTGGGAGATGTATGCGGCAGAGTCAGGAATCTAATCCACGCGTCATCCGGACTTTCAGTCCAGTCCCTTCACTAGCGTTAGCCAATCTTTCCAGTCAACCAGGGAAGCATCAGCCCAGGAAAAGACATGGCATCATTTCCAATGAAAAACTGGAGGCAGAGAGTACTTAAAAAGCTAAGCTTTCCACCCAGACTCTCTGTAAATGATCCTGCCATGGTGCTCTTGGCACAGACTACGAGGAGTAAAGTCAAAGCCTCCAGCACTTTGAACAGCATCAAGTAGCCTCTCCTCCACTCCTCAGAGGAATTAGTGGCCATACTGAAGCTTGCTACGAATGAGGGGTCACTAGAAAAGCCAGGCTGTGTTGCTCACGATGATTTGTGGACCCACACAACAGGAATACACATGAAAAGGCTTTCACAGCTTTCATAAAAAGACACCTACACTCCTCCTAACTGTTATGACTGGAGCTGGTAAGAGTAGAATCACTTAATAAGGATTTATTTCCACTAAGTAAGCCAGTACTGGCGGTGCGCTTTGTTTTAAATTGGCATCAGAGATTACAAGATTCTCCACAACGAAAACTTAAGAAAGTGGTTTCCACGTTCGGTTTCCTTCTGGGTTACCCTTACTCTTAGATGCCCTGCTTGGCATATCTTCAGGGAATCTGGCTTTCAAAGCCTTTTGGGATGCACACTTTGAAAGTTAGGTCTGTTTTTAAGAGGTCTCAGTTTAGGTACTTTTAAATGCAGGCACCCTAAAAACGGCCAGTCACCTTCAGAAGCGGTGACAGGCCTTTCATCCCACTTGCTAATAGAGATTGCTCCTTCTTCAACCTAAATTGACCCATTTAAAACAAGTATTTGGTGGTTTGCTAGTACTAGTAGCAGCTGGTATGAGATTTGCTATTTTTGAGCACCATCTATTGACTACAAAACTGATTAGCAGGAAAACTGAATCCTGCTAGAGGCAAGACTCTACACTCTGCCCTTTCTCAGCTCATCTTTGGCTACAGTACAACAACCACATGAAGAGTCAAGGCATGGACTGGGAGAAGGAGGGTGATTTTCTTTTGACAGGGAATTTTAAAGCCCCCTTTTTTCCCTACTTGGAAAACAACATAAAACTCAGAAATCTGCTTTGCACAGATCTTTTGAAGCTGAACTTTCAGTTCCAGTTGTCCTTGCTACTCGCATGCCCTGGATTTGAATGTTAGCTGTAGAGGTTAATAATTTAAACTGGACACGTCTGAGCATTACCACGTGGACTACAACAGGAACAGACCACAATTAAGAGAGGAAAGACCACCTGGGGCAATTTCTTAAGAGCACCCAGGAATTTTGTACTTAAAATGGTAGCCAAGGACAGTCCCCAAAAGGCAGCTCATTCGTTTGGTCAACTTCCTTCTCATACACACACTGCAGTGAGAAGAAACTTCCAGTGGATGGCCAGCACTGTTACAGGTGTGTATCTGCAATAACTGGGATGGGACAACTAAGGCAGTGGGGAATGGATAAACTTCATATTGCCCATGTTTCCTTGCGTTTAACTCGACCCGTATCACCGATGTAAAAGAGCGTGTTGTTTTTTATCTGAAATCCAAGGGCACTTCCCAGCACACACCACCAGTCATTGGCCCAAATCCAATCTAGTACCACTAACTGCAATGCTTTGGGAGCTGAGTGCTGGAGATGCTGAGCTCAGCGCCTCAGAGGCTTCCACTAAAAGATAGCACCCCTGTCTGGCATCACACCAGGCTCCATACACCTGCGTGACTCTAGCAATGCAAAGCAGTCAGGCTCTCACAGCTATCTCACAAGCTGCAAGTGATGCTCATGTGGCAAAGTGTGCTTCCCATACCAGTGTGTTCAGGCCTGAAATCCCAGCACAGAAGCCCAGTTATGCAATGCCCGGTTGTAGATAATAAATTACCTGCATCTCCAGGAAAAAAAAAAAATAAAAACCAGAACAATCGATCAGCAAAGACTAAGCCCCCTACTTAACTGTGTGATGCACGATGAAGCCTGCTGCATGGAAGCAAACTTGTGTGATCGTTTTATTTTTAAATACAGAGCTCTTAAGACAGTATAAAACTGTTTCTCCGAGTGTTCTTATTGCATTCACTACTCAACTAGGTCATCTCTGAACAGAAATTGCATTGGATATAACCAGAGAGAGGTAAACTCACTAAATGCACTGACAGAAAGCTTCTGGGCTGGAGGGCAAGTGCGACTGCAAAAGTCAGCTGAAGCACTGCAGGAGAGATCATGCTGCAGACAAACTTCTTTTGATGTGGTAGAATGAGAGCAGGAACGTTAATAGTAGCTTCGCTCATATCGCTAAGGGCTTTCTTAGAAACTGGTAGGGTTTTGGCTGAAATCGTTGTTCCAGGCCTTCAGATTGTGCCTGATCCAACTCCAGTGAGGACTCCGGAGTGATTCCCTGGGACATATATACCTATTGGACAAGGTCGCAAGGGTCCCTGGGTCACAGGGTCCCAAGTGCCCCTTCAAGCATAAAGGGGGCAAATGCAAATATGACTTAAGTCTTAAGAAACGTAAAAGCACCCATCTGACACCACAGAGATCCACTTCCTGCTCCAACTTTGACCACTGGAGATACTGCGGCACTCGGGATCCACCCAGAGCAGAACAGCCCTAGGCAAATCCTTTGCCCCCGGCAGCCACGCAGCCTTCACCAGGGCCACCCACAACTGCGGGCAGACACAAAGGCACTGCGTAGC